GATCACTCAGACAATTCAACAAAAAGGGTGCCGCCCAAAAGCCTATCCATATGTCATGGAGTGTGGGGGACTCAGGGCCCTGCACCCCCCACTTCCTGTGATTCACCAAAACTCTCAGCCAGCCAGTAAAACAGAAGGTTTATTAGATGACAGGAACACAGCCCCAAAACAGAGCTTGTAGATACAGAAACCAGGGCCCCTCAGTCCGGTCCATCTTGGGGGGCAGGGAGCCCAGACCCCGGTACTGGCTCTCCCTTCGTTTCCCCAGCCAGCTCCAAATTGAAACCCCCTCCAGCCATCTCACCCAGCCACACCCCCTGGCTCCTCCTCCAGCCTTTGTCCAGTTTCCTGGGCAGAAGGTGTCACCTGGTCCCAACCCCACACCCATGTATCATCACACAAATGAAGTCACACTCTGATATCCCACCACCATCCAGCACCAATGCAGACAGTACCAGTAAAACTCCCATGCAACATTACCAGGTTAATACTCCCTATTCCATCACACCATAACATCAGACAATGGGCCACAACCCCTCCCCTATCATCCCTTGCTCCCCAGGCAGGGGAAGCACAAACAAAACCACCCATGTGTGGGGGTGGCTGGTCCCCAAGGGAATATAGGGGGGGCCCCAAAGCAGCCTGTGCCTAAAGCTAAAGGAAGCCGTTAGTGGTTGAAGCGCGTCCAGCACCCAACAGCAAGCTCCCCTGTCATGTGGCAGCATCGTGGTGCAGCCGATCTGGGGACGTACCTTACACAGCCTGTGCTGATGCACCGTCCTTCCTGGGCCTGGCGGGCCTGGTGGGCCGGGGGGGGCAATCTTTGCTGCTGGAACAAAATCAACTGCGGGGGGAAACTCCCCAGGACTTTGCTTCAGGGGCTGAAATGAAGAGAAGGGACGGATTTTCTCTAATGAGTAAAGAGTTTTCAGTTTTAGTGAGCACGGGTCAGGGCTGAGCAGGGAGAGGTTTCTTGTAGCCTGGGGTGGAACAGGATTCGGTCCCTCCCCTATTGCGAAAAGATCCTAAATTAACCCTGTTCCGTTTTTCTGATATTTTCCCCGTTCTCTCCCCACAGCTGCAGTGTGAATCATTCCTTCCTCAGCCATTGCAGGCCCTCTTCTCTTCTCCCCAGGGCAGCCCAATAACCCCTTCCCCGGCCCTTTGCCAAGTAGAGCCTATACCTGAAACCCTGAACTCTCTGCTCCCAACCCCCGCCTGGTGCACAAAGAGACACATGGGAAATTGTTCCCCTCCCATCTGTCTCCCCACTTGGGAGATATACTGAGTTCAGGCACTGGGCGGATTCTCCACCATGTTGTGTCATCAATACACCAGTGCAAAATGAGTCCAGAATGCTTCTCTTCTAGATCACTAGAGCTGTACACCTGCTTTGCACTGGTGTGAATGAGTGTGCGAGGTGCAGGCAATGGAGAATCTTTCATCCCTCAAACAGCCCCGTCTGATTCCCAGGGAGCTTCATGACAGTCTCAGGAAACGATCTGCATCCTGTGCTCCTGGAAACCGAAAGCAACAGGCTGAGCTGCCCCTTTCCCAGAAATGGGAGGAAGCCGGGAAGCGGGGCTGGCTCTGAGCCATCAAACTGCAAAGAAAATTCCTACAGCCCTTAACTCTTGCACGGAAACACAGGCGAGGGCCTGGCATGTAGAGCTGATCAGCCGGCAGCCACCCGACAGCAGCTCGAAAGCTTGTCTCCCTCCCCAACACAAGTTGGTCGCCAATAAATATATTCGCTCAGCCGCCTCATCTCTCTCATAAACGTTATGTAAGCGGAGAATGGTCCTGCTATTGTGGGGAACTTTCCTGGCTTCTGCTCTCCCGGCTCTGGCCCCACAGCTCTCAGCTGCAGTTTGGACCCATCCACACGGCCGGTCTGCGCTGCCCCAGCTCTCCAACTCCAGCTCTTCTGTCTCAGTGCTGCTGCCCTCCCCTTAGCTCTGCCTGGCTCAGGCAGCCCCAGCTCACACGAAGCATTGGACCGTGGGCTCCTGACTCCCTCATTGGCCTGCAGCCCTATCTAGCACACCGACCTGGAGCGTTGCCCTCTCCTCATTGGCCCCAGGGTCTGTCAGTCTTGTCCTTGTCCCATGTGAAAAAATGTAAAAAAAAAAAAGGGCAGAGACAGTGGGAAAAACCCACTTTCCCTCAATTTTATCCCTCTGCTCTCCACGCCCATGTTGTTAGATCGCACAGACAATTCAACACAAGGGCTCTCCAGAAAAGCCTCCCCATAAAATCAGACAATGGGCCACAACCCCTCCCCCACCGCCCCTTGCTCCCCAGGCAGGGGACGCACAAACAGAAGCCCCCATGTGTAGGGGGTGGCTGGTCCCCAAGGGAATGCAGGAACCCCATAAGCTACCTGTGCCTAAAGCTAAAGAGAACCGTTTGTGGTTGAAGTGCGTCCAGCACCCAACGGCAATCTCCCCGTCCTCTGGCAGCATCGTGGTGTGGCCAATCTGGGGACGTACCTTACGCAGCCTGTGCCGTTGCACCGTCCTTCCTGGACCTGGAGCCCCTGGTGGGTCGGGGGAACCAAACTTTGCTGCTTCTTCTGGACTTTGCTTCAGGAGCTGAAACAAGGAGAAGGGACGGACTTTTCTCTAATGAGTACAGAGTTTTCAGCTTTAGTGAGGAAGCACGGGTCAGGGTTGAGCAGGGAGAGGTTTCCTGTATCCTGGGGTGGAACAGAATTCGTCCCTCCCATTCTGGGAACAGATGTTAGATTAACCCTGTTCTGTTTTTCTGCTATTTTCTCCTTTCTCTATCCACAGCTGCAGAGCGAATCATTCAGTCCTCAGGCATTGCAGGTCCTCTTCTCTTCTCCCCCAGGCAGCCTGGTAACCCCTTCCTCAGCCCTCTGCCAA